ATGTAAAAACTGAAACAGTAGATATTAACCATACAATATCATTTAAGTCATACAGTTGAAAAACAACTAAACTATTTGCCACCATGCAAGTTGGTAACAATGATTAGCCCTCAAAACAGCATAATACTTAACAAGTATAATTAAAGCAAATGCTTTACCAAACTTATTTTTTTGCATAACACATGTGGTGGCAAGCATAACAGATGTGGTGAAATTTAAAGTTAAAAATAACTTTAAAAATTTTCTACAACAACTGTTTTCTTTCAAATTATTTTGTCTGTTGACTTTTTTAAACAAATTTCAGTTGGAACACTTGTAAATAGATTACTTGCACAATTATTTAAACTGCAGTTTGGTATCCTTTTTTTTAAAAAAAATTGTATCACAATATTTTAAACCATTTTTGGATTACTTCAAAATTGTGTGGTTCCAAAAATAGATACCCATCTCTAGAAGATCACTATAAGTTGCAGCCACTGACTGTTTAACCAATATTTTTTTGGGAAACTATGGCGCTAAACTGAGATTTCTTAAAAGGGACTTTAACCTAAAAAAGCCCCTTCTGTTGGGTGTGAGGGAGATATGAAAATTTTCTGTAACACAGTTATGACAATGACCTTCACAAAAAAGTTCTGTGATGAAATTGCAAATGAGAGGAATGGTTTCAAGTGACAAACTTAAAATATCTGATGTCTAAGACTTGCAGATTTTTTGCTGGACACATGTTGGTCACTCAGTTCCTTTAATATTTTGTAGCTTCTCTGCATTTGCCACACTTCCACTTTCTACCGCTGTTAATAGCCCACTCTGGTATGTTGACACAAGAAGTATGATACCATGCTCTGCATCTGTAGCTGCACTGAACATATTCCTCTTTATCATATGGCATTCTACATAGACAGTAGATAGCAACAGATGATTTGTTGCAGCTGATATGAAAAGGAACTCTCCTTGTTGTTTTCGGAAATGGCACCATTGCTCCATTCTCCAGGCAGCGGACATAATGTTGCCGCATAGATTTTTGTTCATACTTTTGATTAACAGGGTCTAAACCATGGCAGAGGTCAGTTGCAAAGGCCAGAGCAAATAGGCCACAATCATTGATACCTACTTGTCTCTGGACCTTTTCATTTATAAGGGTGATTTGATCCCCAGGAAACATCAACATGCGACAAGCATGTTTGATTGCTATTGAACTGGGTTTAAGGTAAAGGCTGTCAAAGATCCTTACAGTGCCACTAGCTGGTCTTGTTGCTATTGTACTGAGGCACACCCAGTGTGACCCAGTATTTACAATCTGAACAAAGTCAGATCTAGCAGGCACAACATGTGACCCAGTGATTGTTGTATCATTTAGGCCATCTAGAAATGGAAATTCTTTCTTTAGGAGAAGCTGCCCTGCGTGGATTTCTGAATCTGTTAGCCAGCTGGTTTTGTTGAGAATACTACTTTTGCTTGCGTGATAAAGAATTAGTTTGGATTCAGGATCATCAGGATTGCAATTTTCTAATTTCACCCACAATGGAGGATCAGGAGAATCATCATTGACAATAATTACAGGTGATTTACAGGAAGGGATGACTGGATCACAGGGACTGTTGCAGTTGTGCTCAACTGTGTTTTCTTTAGCTGATTCACCAGATTCATTCAGGAGAGTGTGCTTCTGTGGAGCTGACTGTGGTTTTGAAATTTCTGTGGGTGCAGGAGTGGGAGCATCATTTATGCCATTGGAAGAGGATGTTTCGCTATTCAATGATGGCACATTCTGGGGTGGTTGTCCCCAGTCTCGTCGTTGTTTCTCAGCTGGTGTGGAATGTTTGAGGCCTGATTTGTTTTTTCTTTTCAGATTTTTTACAGGTGATTTACTGGAAGGGATGACTGGATCACAGGGACTGTTGCAGTTGTGCTCATCTGTGTTTTCTTTAGCTGATTCACCAGATTCATTCAGGACAGTGTGCTTCTGTGGAGCTGACTGTGGTTTTGAATTTCCTGTGGGTGCAGGAGTGGGAGCATCATTTATGCCATTGGAAGAGGATGTTTTGCTATTCAGTGTCGGCACATTCTGGGGTGGTTGTCCCCAGTCTCGTCGTTGTTTCTTAGCTGGTGTGGAATATTTGAGGCCTGATTTGTTGTTTCTTTTCAGATTTTTTACAGGTGATTTACTGGAAGGGATGACTGGATCACAAGGACTGTTGCAGTTGTGCTCATCTGTGTTTTCTTTAGCTGATTCACCAGATTCATTCAGGAGAGTGTGCTTCTGTGGAGCTGACTGTGGTTTTGAATTTTCTGAGGGTGCAGGAGTGGGAGCATCATTTATGCCATTGGAAGAGGATGTTTCACTATTCAATGTCGGCACATTCTGGGGTGGTTGTCCCCAGTCTCGTCGTTGTTTCTTAGCTGGTGTGGAATATTTGAGGCCTGATTTGTTTTTTCTTTTCAGACTTTTTTTGGTTTGGGTTTTGTCAGAGTTACTAGAGGCACCATTCACAGGGACATTCACTTTGTAGTGCTTTTGCATCATAGATGCAAATGCCCCAACTCTGTTTTTGTACCGGTTTTTCTTGGGCCGCACAGGTAGTGGAAGGTAATGCCCAGCAGATGATTTACCATTTGACTTAACCTGTTTGTTGAGCAATGTCTGTGGAAAGTTTTCCTTTTCATCAATTGTTTGGCATTTTTTAAACTTGTTGACTAATAATTCCAGAGAAGTATTAAGTTCCTTAAGGCCATTTAAATTTTCAATGTCGTATGTTATTGATGTTAGCTCTTTTAGTTTCTCTCTACACACCATTGCTTCCTGCCTTATTGGGTCTTCAGGATTTCTGGCTCTCTGCCTGGGTATGCCAGTTCTTTGACCTTGTAGATCCCTTTTAAGATTTTCGCCAATGTCATTATTTCCTTCCTCAGTGGACTCATCGGTAGCTTTATATTTATTAGCATCAACAAAGACATGTTCCCAGTCTAGTGAGATGTGAGGGTTTTGTCGGAACTTTTCTGGTAATGCATCCCACTGCCACATTGGATACAGGTCAAATATTAATTTGTCAAAAACATACCTTCTCATTGGCTTGTCTTGCTTTGAATGCCTTTTTTCTGTCTGGACCATGTTGGCAGTCAAACACCTTTGAGCCAATGATACTGAAGGGCACTCCATCAAATGGGATTTTGTCATCTTTAAAAAACTTGGCTTGGCAAAGGGATCTGTGACAACATCCATAGAAGGAATTTTTGTTTGTATTTTATTTAATGCACTGGTCATTTTATCAAGCATTTCTGTTCTTTATTTCAAAGATTAAATGACACAATTTGTTTCTTTTTTTACCTGCTTCACCTTTATCTAATATTCATCCATAGCCCTCACCTGCTTAACCCAAGCACGTAAGCTACAGTTGAATCCAGCAAGAACCCACACATTTTTTTTCAGATCAGGTGAAATTCGTTCTTAATAAAGTCAATAAGCCTATATGACAATACAAACATCAGCTAACCTTAGTTGTAATTTTTAGACAGATATTACTGGACATCCCAGTGAGAGGGAGGGGGGGTTCTACTCAATAATTTTTTATATAGGGGGGGATCTGTCCAGTGGTCCAAACCCTTATCTTTTCATCTACTACTTTTGACCTGAAAAAGGTAACCCTTTCATGCACAGACTCTCAACATTCATAGTCCACTATGGGAGTAACCTCCCCCCCCCCCCCCTACTAACACACACCCATAGGCATATGGGCGCACCTTTCGGACTTGGGAAGGTGGTGACCTTGACCTAAATTAAAAAAAAACTAACTGTTTAAAATTATCGTGTCTCACGAAACTAGTGTCACAATTCCAGAATCCAAATTTGAATTCTTGAAACCCATTTTATTAATTAATGGGATTTTTTGTTTGTTTTCTCCATGTGCTTTTGCTGGAATCATGGGCATTTTGTCCTACCCAGCGAGCAGAGTCGATCTTCCTAGATCAGTCGGGTAAGAAGATCGAAGAGACTCTGTTCGCAGGGTAATTTTGTCCGAAAAAAATTTACGACTGGGGGCTGCCGCCTCCCCCCCCCCTCCTGTTCGTTCGCCTATGCCCCCCAATCTAAATGTATATTTTTCCCATGTTTGCATGCATAATAGACTCACCTCCAGCCCCAAACATCTTGTCAGATTTAAAACAGGAAAACTTTGTCGTGGTTTCTATCTCATATTGCTTTATCACAGCCATGGCTGCTTCAACTGACTCGACATAACCAACATACTTGCTTGTAGATCCTTTAAACTTCGGCTCCCACGAACATACCGCATGAGCAGTAGTACTCAAAGTACTGTTTAATTGTACAAGATCATCTGTGTGGCGTTCTTCGACATTTACTGGCGTAGCCATTTCTAAAAGGGTTAGCTGGGCTATCACAGTTCTTACTAAACTTCCAGATTTAGCGGTCGCGGAACCTTTATAGAAAATCTGCATTTACATATTTGAAAATGCCCGCCAAAGAACGAAGCTTAGCGGGAAAGAAATGCTCGGAAATCCGAGGGCAATGTTCGGCAAATTGTCGTTCATCGCCGAGTACGATCACCCAGCATGTCACGTCACTTTCACGGATGGAAGATTACGATCGAATATGCCATCTTTCAAACTGACGTTGATTCACCATTCGGTGATACACACTGGTATACGCACTGAAATATAAACAGTTGCTCTCAGCTTTATTAAAAGTAACTCAGAGTTTTATTTGATGTACAAGGCAAAACATAAAGATCTGCAAAAGGTTAAGAGAGAAACATCCGCCATATTTGTTTTTTCTAAAGGAAACCCGAAACCCGAAACCCGAACCACTGAACCGAAGATTCCCGTCGGAGATCATATGACGTCACGTCAGTTTCACGGATGGAAACTAGTGACGACCCTTCCGTTTCACCATACGGGGAGGGTACAGCTACACGTAGGCTACATGAGGAACGGAATTTAAAATTTTGATTTGGTCCGTGTTTTACGCAGCTTAAGTTTAAGCAACTTCGATGAACAGACTGAGACATATTTTCCGTGAGAAGAGACGGAGGCATGATCATGAACCAGGTAATTATAACGGAGTATTCTGTCATGAAACATGTCTTTGGCGGGTTAGAACCCGTTGCAATATTCTACATTATTTATTGCTATGTCTTCCTGAGTCCTTCTTGTGTATTACGCTGCCTATCAAGTGTGCTATCTCTTTAGAAAATACGACCAGTGGTAATACTTTTAATGGCTAAAGAATCAATGTCTAAGGTCACGACCAAATAACTGAAAGTAACGTTGGATATAGGCATACAAATTATTATAAGTCTTGAATCGCATCGATCGAAGTTGTTATGAATCCTTTTCCGTCTGCCGTACAACCAAGGCTTTTGATCAAGTGTGCCACGTGGTTTATAAACGTCTGGTTCGTTCAGATTCTAAGGGAGCGTGAGTGATAGTGAGACAGGCAAGAACCAAAACTTTATAACTTTACGCTCAAGTGGGTTTAATTCAAGGCCAAATTCCACGGCTTACTGTCCTTTGCGAAGCAAAATTAATCCAAACGAAGCGAACTGTTTCAAATGATTTTCAAAACGTTCATACGTAGGGGCCATTCGTTAGAGATTCATAATCTAATGTTTGGTAGTGTGATATAAAGCTTGAAATTTTGGATCGCGCTTTTAAACGAACGGCCGTTGCCATGCTTTGTTGACATACTAAATAACAATTGCAAATTGCAATTGCTCATCCGAACCCATCTTGCGGAAACGAAAAGAGGAAAGAATACTGAGGAACATAATATTTCTCTGAGAAATAAAAGATATTGCTTGCTCAATTAATATCCGGTGATAGTCTCTTGCGTAGACTTTCTTAGTAGTAGTCACGCAACTCGCTCTTTCAGAAAGTTTGTCGCGTGAGGAAAGCAGGTAACGGCAGCAATCGGAGAAAGGCTTGTCAGAACACAGGCGGCCCAAGCTCCAGCTGTGAGATGATCATCTTGCGAAATAACAGTCATGGCGAAATTATAAGAGTTTGTATGGAAATATTTACGACCGCTCTAAGGAATAAAAAATAAGTCAAATTCTCAATAAAAATACCTCACCTTACTTCCACAGTGCATTGCTTGTTATCTGACCGCTTACTACGTTGAAGGGAACCCGTTTTAGCGTTTTATCCATTTCGAGGTTTACTACGTACATAATAATTTTAAGAAAAGGTGATTTGGAGCTTGGATTTTTCGTTGCTCGGATCGGGCGTTCGGATACGAAGTGGGCTGCACACTCAATGTCATTTCTTGCGATATCACAATATTACGTATACGTACACGTCTTTGACGTTCTACTTTAAAATTGTACTCGACATTGACGTTTTATCATGTGTTATGGTCTAGGAAAAGTAAAACACTCACGCAACAGAAAGAACGGCCGGTTACCTTACTGAATTCCAGGATGACTTGGAACATTTTCGACGAAATTTCAAGGTTCAGCAATGATCTTTAGATAGAAATGCTCTCCTTTGAAATCTGTTCGAGTAGCCATGATAATGGTTTCTTCTGTTCGCTACTGCGCAGAAAATATTTCTTTAAGTACACAATGCTTCAGGATAAGCTTGAAGTTTAATTAATAAATTTAACCAAATACTTGTCTGAGTAAGTTTGTAACTCAGTCGTAATCCGTAACTCGTACGCTCGGAGCACGAAAATGAGTTCTGGATATTCAAACGACAATCAGGTTTGGTCGTAAAGTTTTGCTTATGTTATGTGATTTGGGCGGTCGGAAGTAACTTTAACTTCCGGTTGCTTAAATTTGAAGAAAATTTCTGAGTCTCAAAGACAAATTTAGTAAGCTCCCACTGCAGTAACGAAAAATACAAAGTTCAATTGATTAATTATTCCTTTCGCACTTGTTAGCTATGAGATAGATTAACAATAAAAGCTAAGTTTTTCGTTGTCTCACGATGTAGTCACGTGTGATGTAGATCGCGACGTTTCGACTGCATACTGCTAGCCTTCTTCAGGCGATGAGGTCGACTGTTCATGCGTGATGTTATAAAGCATGATGCTCTGCCGTGATCAGTTGTTTTCTCAACAGCTCTGATTGGTGCATTTCGATCCTTGCTGTTCACTCAGTGATTTGCTCCCTCGGCGGTCCGCTGTCGCACGGCTCTCCTGTTGATGTGTTTTTTGATTGTGGGCATCCGCGCTTCTCGAATTTCTATTCCACTATCCCTGTTGATGTTGTTAGGGTGAAGTATTATATGAATTGCCTCTTTGACCTTCCGCGTGTAGTAATAAGGGTCACGATCAATAAACTTTACTTTGTTCCAGAGTGGCTTGTGTCCGGTGTTGTGGGCATGCTCTGAAACGGCGGAGGTCTCGGTACGGGCGAGTCGGATGTCTCGATCGTGCTCCTTAATTCTGTCTTGCATAGGTCTTCCAATCTCTCCGATGTACACCTTGCCGCATTCACAGGGAATCCTGTAAACTACGCCATCTTGTTTAGCCGGGTCGACAGCGTCTTTTGGTCGTACTAACTGAGATCTTAGCGTAGTCTCCGACTAGAAAACAGCGCGTACGCCTTGTTGTTGTAGGCAGCGGCGAAGCTGTTCGGACAGAACTTTGACATAAGGTAAGATAAAAACATCAACAGGGATAGTGGAATAGAAATCCCAGAAGCGTGGATGCCCACGATAAAAAAAACACGATCTCCCCTCCTGAAAGGCAAGTTCGGTAATTGTAAATCGGCTGCGACCATAAGCGTAATCCCTGTCAAGTAAAACAAACTCATCTAAAAGATACCGTGAAAAACTTACCTGATGAGGTCCTTCCAGCGTTTATGTTGTTTTTCATCCTTTGGAAAACGAAAATACTGACAGGTATGACTTTCCGATTGATGATTGCAGTCAAGGACGAAACACTTCACCGTGGCCGATAAGATCGTAAACGAATGCGACGATAATCGCCAAAAAAAAAACCTTTCAACACAGTCTAGAAATTCGTAAAGTTGCAAATCAAAGAAGTAAACGTTTAAAAACTATAGACGAATGTTTAGAGTAAATTAGTAGCACTGAATGTGACTAAACATAATAGCGCATTGCGTCGATGTGGTTCAATCTCTTCTTGTTATTGGCTCGATCTCGGATTGTTTAGAACCAAAAAAATGGTTACCATGGAACCGTGACATCACACTTTACCACTCTATAGGCGCCTGGCGCTTATTCAAAATTTCGGCTAAGAGGAGGGGTAAAGAGGGCGGCTTAATAGAGAGAGCGCTTATTAAGTTTTCATTTCAGCGAAATGTAACTTAATTTTGGGTAACCTTTAAAAAAAAAAATAAAAACTACCGCAAAGACGTCGAAGACGTCGTCCATATTAATGTCTTTCGTTTGTTAAAACAATGGTTGGTAGTCAAGCGCACCGTAGTCTTATTCAACACTTTACACACAGATGTATCGGCATGTTTTTAAAATATCGATTATCTCATCATTCTCGTCAACGATATGCAGATCGTTGCATTCCTCTTGATCCATTAGGCGGTGAAAGTGAAGACGAAGGGAGGGCACTTTTTCAAGGGGGACACTTGTTCGACATCATGGCCTAGTGGGGAGGACGGGGGAGGGCATTTATTAGAGCGTTAGCACTTATCCTAGGATATAATCGGTATTTACCATCTCATATCCAACATGTGTTCATGGGGTAAACTTTTTCCTGATTGTTTTCAGCCCAACGCAGTGCTCCTCCGGAGCGTCTTCAGTTTAATCTTCCTGTGGATTTTCGCACTGCTGATGTAGTCTACGCAGTGCCTCCAGTCCAAATATCTATGCCGACGGAGAAACCTCTAGATCCTCCAGTTCCGTTTCGGCAGCAGCGGTCTAAAAGTTATCCTAACCTTGATATTTTTAAAGAGGTAAGGTGACATTCTGCCCCTTCTTCCCGATTTTGATTTTTCACTTCGACCATGGCTTAATCTACTTGTTAACAGCAAATAATTTAGAGCACAGTCAAAGGGAGAGTAGCATTTTGGGGCCTTCAGACGACACTTTTCAATATTTAAACCTAAACCTGAAGATGGAACAGGAAACGATTAAAAGTATTAACGCTTGCATTATGATGATCGACAGGCTCGTCAAATTGGAGGAGAAGACGATAACGAACATGAATCAAGTGAGTTTTGTATTTTCCTCGAAAATTAATTGTCTGGTTATCTTTTTGTTAAGAAATACTTACTCACAGATTTCAGAATATTTCAACATTGTTTGCTGTTCTAGTTTATGTAAGGCTTTCACCCGGGGAGACTTTTTCTGTCGCTGGCAATGTTCTTTAAAAAATAATAAAAGAATTTGAGTAGGAAAATGAAACAAGCAACCTACAACTGTACAACTATGGTAGCACGATGGTAGTCTAAAAAGTCTTTAAAGCAACAAAGCAAAACACCTTACAACATTACAGAAATTATTATTTCAAGGAACAACTGTTGAATCGCGAGGTAGATCCCCACCGACTTACACTCCATTCTAACTAGAAATGACAATTTCTAGCCTTGATCCAAATAATAATAGGTCTGTAGATAGTAAATGTCCTTTTTTGTTCTATTTGTTGTTTATTTGTTATCTAATCGTTTTACTATTTTGTTGCAGTTCCTGTGGAAATCGTTGCTCGAGGTCCTAAGGCCCTCGAAGCTTACCATCGAGCCATCGAAGAAGGAAAAACTAGTGTGAAAAGAGTGCCAATCATGTTCATTAGGCAAGGTCAGTCAGGAAAAACAAGTTTAAAGAGATCACTTATAGGAGAGGAATTCAATCCAGAAGAATGCAGAACTATAGGCATCGAAACAGATCCTTCCTATTGTAAAGTATCAACGGAAGTTTGGAAAATGGGAGAGGCAACCCACGAAAGAGATTCAAGCATGGAGCCAATCTCTTTTGAAAAACACACAGCTCAATATATTGTTAACAGCCTCGAGAAAAACGAACGAAGAAAAGAACTCAAGCCTAGCCCATCTCGTTACGACAATGTACCTGAGAAGAAAGGAGGTCCGTCTTCCCTAAATAATAATTGTGTATCATCCGGTGCACCAAAGGTTAAAGCCGTGCCAGAAGAAATAGCATCATTAGTTACCAGGCTACTTCAAGTTGTGCGCGTTGACGAAGACAAAGATGAAATCTTTTCAACTTTGTGGGATTTTGGCGGGCAGTCAGTTTATTATTCTACCCACCCACTTTTTCTAACAAGAGGGGCAATTTACCTTTTGGTTTATAATCTCAACCGAGATCCAGAGGAGAAGTCTATATCTCGAGTAAAGCGAGGACTATTCAAGTCTATCAAAGACGTTCTTTCTAAGAAGAGTAATATGGATTATCTCAACTTTTGGATGTCCTCAGTTTCTAGTTTGGTTCCAAACAGTGAGAAGCCTCACGAAACCCCTTCAACTTCCATGCAACCAGAACTTCTGCAGCCCCCAGTTATTCTGGTCTTTACCCATGCTGACAAGCCTCACAAAGGTGCAGATCCTGAAGAGCTTGCAAGAGAGATTTTTGGAAATTTGAAGGAAAAAAGTTATGGTAAACAAATTCTGGACTTCTTTGTCGTAGACAACACTAAGTCTGGGAGTAAGGAAGAATGTGAAGGGGTTATTCGTTTGAGAAAAGGGGTGCTGGACACTGCCAAGAAGCTGCCTCAGCTGAAAGAGGTTATTCCAATCAAATGGCTGAAGTTTGAAAAGGCTGTAAAAGAGACGGTTGAGCACGGAAGCAAATGGATTTACATCGAAGATGCGGAAAGAATTGCACGTGAGGTATGCGGAATTTCCAACGAAGAGCAGTTTTTAGCTATGTTGAACCTCCTACACGACCAGAGAATTTTGATTCATTTTGACGACACCCGAGAGTTAAACAAAATCGTTATTTTGGATCCACAGTGGTTGATAGACGTGTTCAAGGAGGTGATTACTATTCCGCCCTTCAAGAAGAGTAAAAAGGAACATACAGAACAGTGGAAAAAGCTTGAGAAAAGGGGAATCTTGGAAAAGCGACTCTTAGAAGACTTGTGGGATCCTCTTCTTGACACCCGAGAAAATTTTGACGTCGACAGTCTTATCAACATGATGGAGAAATTTGGTTTGTTATGCCCTTGGCCGTCGTCTGACGAGAGTGGGTCACCCAGTGAGTATCTTGTACCTTCCATGTTGATGTCCCCCCCGAAGAATGTCACCGATTTGTTTTCGTCTGCGGGTATTCCATCCCTTTTTGTGAAGTTTAAATCGGGTCAATTGCCAATTGGACTGTTTCCTCGCCTAGTCCTGATGGTCATGCAATGGTGCATGTAGTGTCGCAAAGTCTTTAATTGTAACGGAACAGACTCCAATATACAAGAAGAGTTTTTACACCGAAATTAGTCAGATCCAACGTATCCAAAACGTCCTTAGGCTTAGCAGCCAAGCCTGCAATATGCGTGGATACCCGGATATAACATCCCATCCTAACCTATTTAAAGTTCAAAGTCCATTCTAACAACGCAACTTAACATAGAAGAACTAAAACAATGTTCTAGTCATAAACAAAGTCCGGATCTCTCTTTGGCTTTGGTGTTCGAGTTGAACGTCTCAATTCCATTGCTGAGTAGGGAGGACCACTATCTGCGGGATTCCTATCATCCGAGACTGTAGATCCGAGTTGATCCAAAGGAGGCATCGCTGCCCCAGCGAACTCTTCCGACTCCAAGCAGCCGTTGTCATTGTCATCATTAACTGGTAGCTCCATGCGTGGAACTCTACTAAGAAACTTCACATTACGAGTGAGATGTTGTCCAGTCTCAGCATTGACAAGTTCAAAAGTATCTGGTCCTTTGCTACGAACAATGACATACTTCTGATGACCAAACGTGGGAATCAATTTTCCAGATTTTGTATTTGCTACAAATACAATATCCCCAGGTACTAGGTTATGTTGTTGTGCATGTCGCTTGGCATCAGTATACTCACATAACTTCCTCTGGTATTCCTTGTACCTCTCTTCAGGGTTGTTCTGATCCATTTCTGGTACTGTTGGCAACTTTGTTGTTATCTCTCTGTTGAGAAACAGTTTAGCCGGGGTCATGTTAGTCCCGGCATGTGGAGTGGATCTGTAAACTTGCAGGATTGTGGGCAGAACCTCTGTCCAGGATAGACCATCTAACTCTGCTGCTCTGATACTGTGCTTTAGGTACCTATGAAATCTTTCGACCTGCCCATTTGCTTGTGGAAAATAGGGTGATACTCTTCTGTGCTGTATTCCATTTGCCTTCATGAAGTCTTGGAATTCCTCAGCTACGAACTGACGTCCATTGTCCGTGATCAGAACTTTTGGATTTCCAAATCGTGCAAATATATCTGCAAGTGCAGTGACTATACTCTCACTTGTAATACGCTTAAGAACAATAGCCTCGGGCCACTTGCTTCTGTAATCAACAACAGTCATGATGTAGATCTCTCCAGGAAATGGACCCACCAGGTCAAGGGCACACTTCTCCCAGCAGTAATCGGGAAGAGGAGTTGCTGTATTAGGTGTGTCTCGTCGTAGTGGCTGAAGGCGCACACAAGTCTCGCAATTTCGGCAGTAGTCTTCAACATCAGAGTCCATCCCCGGCCAGAACAGAATTCTACGAAGGCGTTGCTTGCAACGCACAATACCTTGATGAGCCTCATGTGCCAAGGTCAATGCCTTTTTTCTCAACTTCTCAGGAACATAAATTCGTCGACCTCGCCACAGTAGGCCCTGTGCAAAGCTCAGTTCATCTTTAAAATGTTTCCATTTATTATTTACCAGGTTCTGGGTTCCATCAAGTACCTTCACCACCTCTAGTAATTCAGGGTCAGACTCTCCAGCCTCTTTTATTTCATCAATTGAGAGAAAGCATCAGCACTTTTGACAAAGTGTACATGCTCCTCAACAAAACTTGTTTCTGTAACAGTAGCGTTCAAAGGTAATCTTGACAGTCCATCTGCAATGTTCTCAGATCCAGGTTCATAAGTGAGTGTGAAGTCATAGTCCTGACATCTCAAAGCAATCCGTTCCAGGCGAATTGATTGAGTGTTTTTATTGAATACGCCAAGTAGTGGTTTATGATCAGTCGAGACGACAACGTGGCGACCATAAATGTAAGAATGCATCTTCTGCAATCCGAACAGCACAGCCATTGCCTCTCGTTCGATCTGCGAATATCTCTTCTCTGCAGCAGTTAGACTTCTGGACGCATAAGATATGGGCTGCCAACGGCTGTCAACATTTTGCAGCAAGACACACCCAAGACCGACTGGGCTGGCATCTACTACAAGTTTGGTCTCGGCTTCCAATGAGTAGTGTGCAAGGCATGGTGCTTTAATCAGAAGCTCTTTAACTTCCTCAAAGGCATTGGATTCTGTTGTACTCCATTTCCACACCACACCCTTCTGCGTAAGATATCGTAAGGGGGTGATCACTGTTGCAAGGTTGGAAACAAACTGTGTAAGGTATGTAATGCTTCCCAGAAATGATCTCAGCTCAGCTTGGTTTTGAGGTACTGGTGCATCTGCAATGGCTTTTACCTTGTCAGGGTCAGGCTTAATGCCCTCAGCAGAGATGACGTGTCCTAGAAATTTCAGCTCACACATGCCCAAGGCACACTTGTCTGCATTGAGACGAAGGCCACAGTCTTGAAGTTTAGCCATCACTGCACGAAGATTCTTCCAGTGTTCTTCTGGTGTTGACCCGTACACCACAACATCATCAAAGTAGCTAAGCACACCTGATAAGCCTTCACACACTATGCTCATGACCCTTTGGTACACCTCTGGTGCTGACGCAAGTCCGAAGGGCAGCCTTTTGAACTGATACACTTTGCCTGCGGCTATGAACGATGTAATTTCTCTAGATTCTTCCGCTAGGCGAACCTGCCAATATGCTTTCCTTAGATCCAGAGTCGAAAACATCCGAGCCCCACTCAGTTGCCGTAACAGGTCTTGGATTCTAGGAATTGGAAACCGCTCTCTTATCACTGCTTTATTAGCTTCCCTGAGATCAACGCACACTCTCAATTCTCCATTCCCCTTGTAGACAATCTGCACAGGTGATATCCACGATGCTCCTGTCGCTTCTTCAATCACATCTTCTTGGATCATTCGCTCTATTTCTTGTTTCAATCTATCCTCTAAGGGTGCAGGGACTGGCCTTTGTTTTTGTACCTTGGGAGGGACATCTGAATTGATTTTAATTTTGTACTCATAATTCTTAAAGTCTCCGAGCTCTTCCTTGAAGAGATTTTCATACTCCTGATAGATCTTCTCCCTCGCCTTGGTTGGGCTCTCCCCTACTGCATGGATTTTTACAAGGTTGAGGGTGGACAGGGCGCTTCTTCCCAACAGGGGGGACCTTCCACATCGATCACATACACTGGCTCCATTACTTCCATCTTATTGCATCTCAGTTTAGCATCAAATACTCCTAAACACTTGAGGTCTCCTCCACCAAAAGCTGAGAACTTGACATTGGTTGGGTTAAGAGGAATGTTCAGGTTGTTTCTAAACCACTGTTTCGGGATCAAGGTTTTAGCACAGCCAGTGTCAATCATCATTTGAACAAGTTTACCATTGATTTCAACATCAGTTTCAACACCCAGCCCCTCATTATTAGTAGTATACAAAACATATTCAGGGTTAGACTTATCTGACTGATGCTGGACTGGCTGGACAAACTTTACATCTTCTTTATTCTCTGATTCTCTTGATCTGCAATATTTCCAAAAGTGACCAGTCTTCTTACATTTTATGCACTGTGCATTCCTAGCTTTGCACCTTTCGTTATTAGCAAGATGATCCGTTTTTCCACAGCGAAAGCAGGCTTTTTCTTTCGCTTTATTTACTGAAAATCTTACCGCATTAACATCAGATTTTCCAGGAACGTTTTGGGCCCCGTGACCCCCAAGTAGCTGTGTATCCTTCTTTGCAGATTCAATTGCTCTCCCGAGCGTCTGGGCTTTTTCCAGTGTAAGAGTCTCTCCTTGTTGTAGTAGCTTTTCTCGTAGATATCCGTCAGAACACTTCTCTATAACTTGACCAAGAATATTATCATCATTTGCTTCCCCGAAGTCGCATGTTAGACTCAGCATACGTAACTCTGCGATGAAGGTATCAAGTGATTCATGTTGAAGTTGAGCACGTTTTCGAAACTTGTGCCTCTCTGCCCACTTGTTTCTCTTCGGCTGAAAATGTGCACTCAACGCTTGTTTAACTTCCTCAAATTTCTTGTTCTCTCCCGGCAAACCTGAGAGCAAACGCTGGACTCCCGTCCCCGCAAGATGTAGAAGAGTAGCTTTTTGAACGTCGTCGCTTTCCTTATCTAATTTCGTAGCAATTCGGTAGTTGTCGAAAGCATCAAGCCAAAACTTCCACTCATCCGCCAAGTTTGTCGCCTCTAAATTAACTGGTGACAACGAAAACCTTTCAAAACTCATCTTGGCCTGTTATCCGATTGTCTTTTATCCTCGTCGCCAATTTGTAGTGTCGCAAAGTCTTTAATTGTAACGGAACAGACTCCAATATACAAGAAGAGTTTTTACACCGAAATTAGTCAGATCCAACGTATCCAAAACGTCCTTAGGCTTAGCAGCCAAGCCTGCAATATGCGTGGATACCCGGATATAACAGTGCACACGGGAAGGTCTCAACCAAGAGTACCCTAAACTGTATCACAATTTCGTCAGGTTTTACACACACCCAGCTAAAGGCATCTCTCTGATCCTTCTCTGCCGTTCCTCTTTCATTGAAGTTGTCGTTCATCATGGGAAGTGCAAGGCAGGGGCTTCCGAGAATGAAAGGATGAATCTACCATCTGTACTTAGCCAAGACACTCCCCAAGTAGATTTTGCTCGTATTGTGTGCCGACAACTGGGACTGATTCTCGAATGCATGCGGAGGGAGTTTCATTGGTTAAAGAACATGGCTTACGAAATGTCAGTTTGCTGTCCAATTTGTTGCACAAGAAAGACAGTGAAATATTGTGACACCCATTGTGTAAGTGACTGCAAAGAGGAAGAATGTCTGCACTTCTGGTCAGAGTCACAGTTGCTTGATTGTCAAAGGCCTGTTGTATGCACCAGGCGTGTTGATGCTGGAGAATACAGGGTTGCACTTGAGCCCTTCGCATCATGGTTTCCATTTTTACATAAAACGGTAAGTTAAGGTTTTGTCAGTGTTCATTAAGAGTTACTTATTTCCATACCAATGCCTATCATCCATCAATAATTGTTGCCTAAGTGCGATTGGTCTAAACACATCATGTGACCGGTTATTCCCTTGTTAAAACAGGGGATACCCAACGATATAACCCAATTTTCAAACCTTACGTCTACTACGAAAAGTCTTCGTTAAAATTTAATTAGAGATGAGAGAGGGTTTTTTGGTTGTTACAGAAGAAATGGATGTTGTTTTGCAACTCATCCACATCCACGTACCAGAGAACACTGAAAAGTGAATATATGTCACACGCAGTAAACGGTGAGCTATTCATTAACATGTTCTTCCTACGTGCAGGATAATAAACACAATAGCCTCCATTTGTCCAACGACAAAGAACCGTGCATATTTTCGCGCCAAATGCAGGCTATTGTTTATTCATTGTATCGAATGTACCAGGAAGGCCATACTTTAAGGCAAACGTCTTTAGAGAAAATATCTACTTTCTCTAAATCTCAATATTTGTGACTTTCAAAGTTTTGTAAAAATGTCATTTCACTATTATAGCGATCCCTTCCTGGGAAGGAAAGTAGTAAAGGATACCGCTAAACTTAAAAAACGAAATTGCGTGTACTATCAACGATAGAATGCAAGAAAACAGTACAACAACAACTTACACAGAGACGAATTATTGACATAATAATTATGAAATCAACAGAGAGTCACTGGCGAGGGCAACCAGGAATCAGCTTTACCTTATACGGAAGGTTAGTTTCTGCATGTAGACTTTGTAGTTACTGAGCGGTTCTCCAAACGATGCATTAGCCATAAATTTGTGCCACACGAACGAGAGAGTGTTTCTTACGGTCCCTTGGTTCCGCTTTGTCATTGTTATGCATATTTCGTCTGTGTCACACAGTTTTGGGTGTTAATCCCGTTGAAGCCTGTTTTTGTTGGACTTTATTTTCAAACCCACTAATGTTGCGCATCGTAATATGAATAAGATGATTATTCTTCTATTGATGAATATCTTTGTCAAACCCGTGTTGTTTATATTTCAAACCAAGCGTGTAAGATGAACTGAACCGTGAAAATATTTGAAGGTATTGAGCTAAGGTTTTACTTCATCGATATTTTAGGGGAAGGCGAACAAGCCCTTGTCCTCCCCGATGGGCTGGTTCAAGCCCTTCAGTTGAGGACAAGCAATGCAGACGATGTTGTTGCTCTATTTCACAAAAGTTTATCATTGGACCTAGCATCTTTAGAACAGCCAGATCCAGAGACAAAGCGTCAAATTCGCTGCATTTGTTTAAAAGCCAAATCTACAGATAGACTTGATGTTGTAAAACGATTACGAGAGATAGTACCTGCTGGTACAACAGGTAAAGTGTTTGGGAGATCTACAGAAAGCAGACAATTGGAGTAGTTCGTACTCCTTTCTTTTTAGTAACGGTAATAGGGCCGAGTGGAGTCCAATTCGGTCTGTTATCATACGAGTGATAACAAAATCGTATGATTACAGACTGAATTGGACGACACGAAGTCTTGTTTCCGATTGATCATAAAAATTACAATTTCAGAGAAAAGAAGAATAGCCAAGTTGTAAAAGAAAAAGAAAATTTGCGTTAATAGACTGACAAAGGAGGCGTAGATTATTTAAGGTTGTGATTGGCTGATTTAAACTTCAACTTTGAATGTGATTGGTTGATTTAAACTACAACTTGGAATGTGATTGGCTTATTGAACTTTCCGATTACAAACTGTCCGATAACAACCTGGCAAGTGAATTAGTGGAAAATATGGAGTTTTTTAAACCAATCACAATCGAGGAAGTTGTAATTGTTATGATTAAGAACTTTATCAGATTAATTAATTAACCGTATTTTGATATGAAATAGAGATACTACACTTTCTTCCATTCGATGACCAAGCTTAAAATGTACCATTTTCTGAAATGTCTCTACATACATATCAAGCGTTAGAAGGCAATGCTGATCTCAACTTGACGTTTTGGAGTCGGTTAGTTCGAGTCCAAGTCGTCTTCCTGAGACTTGTAAACAGCCGAGTAGTAAGCATCCCGTGAAGACTGCTGTTTAATTTCTGTTACTCCACTTGATTAATTCTTTACAGTAACCTCAATTAATACGGAGGTGAATGATGCATAACTTGTTTTGTCTTTAAGAATGACAATGATTTCCTTTTACTTCTTAGGTCCTTTGTTGCCTGATATTTGCGACGTTGCAAATATTCCCAATGTTCAAAGATTTAATTTGACAATTGCCTTGAGTGGTGAGCACACTATTATAGTGACTTCATTGGGATAAAATTAGGAAAGTCTTTCAACAACGGCGCCGCAATTCGCATTTCAATTCATTGTTAGATCAAAACCAAAGGAATCACAACAATAAGTTAGGAAAGAGGGAAATGCTGCATGGGGCGAAAGTGAATTCAAAGTCAAGACGAATAAATGTTTCGCGGGCTGACGCAAATGAACAAGTCGCGTTTAATATTTTCTCAGTTTACATCTGATTGGTCCACTTGATGGCGGGAGTTCTTTAGATTCATCGTAGAAAGAAGAAATGCTTTTGTTTAGCGATTCCAGATTATTTGCGGCACCCATTTCCTAATTGATCCAAAATGAGCAAATGCAAAACAATGCTTTTAAACCGAAGGTGCGTCTATTTCTTGCTCTCGTGCAACATAAATGTGTGGTTAGTATCACTGTTCAAATTATTTGATGTGCTGGGTCCTACACACCAATTCACAACAATGTATTTAAGATATTGGCTTGTGCATTCAGTATGGAGTAGTTTCGTAACAATTCCAATACTCTAAAATTTTACTTGGAATTTCAGGTGGAGATGAATGGAAATTATTGGCGGAGCGACTGGGTTTGAGTCCGACAGAGATCCGTTTCCTTGACAACCGACTAATAAATCCTTGTGACGCCGTGTTGGCTTATGCTCGAGATAAAGACTTCATACGCAGTGTGGGAGAATTATACGATAAGCTTGTAAAATGTAACTTCCCCGTTTGGGCCGATTTGCTCTAAAGACTAACTTGGAATCGCTGCTGTCTAAACTTTTGTTTTCCTGTCGTGAATTCAGAACGACTTCTCCTATCTTTGCTGGAACTTACCATTTTTTTAGTGGTTAATTCATAACGCATGGCAGATTTTAGAACAGGAATGGCTCAAGCCTAGTTAATTTTTTTTCATGTTTAAAGTGCCATTACTTTCGTGAAGTAAACGGCAAGTTAAATCACCTCGGTGTTGAGATCATTTTTATTACTTCAGAATATCGACCGATGTTTATGGTAATTGTTATTGTTTTACTTAATTTCTCAAAGAAAATTTAACACCATTATACTATACCAAGCTTAATTTGATACAATAGACAGTGATGCAAAGTTATTCTTCATAAGAATATCCTTTAATGCAAAGTCTCAATTCGAGAGTTCCAGGGCTTAGAAAATTGCATAGTTGTCAGTATAAGTGTATTATAACTGGCTGCCATGCAGGTGAATCTGAAAAAGTCAACAAAAGCCAATTGCATTTAGAACAAGGAGCCAGGATCCTGCCTAAGTGAAACAATTAGTTTAGGGTATCGACATACGCAGCGACAGGATCTTATATATCGGTAAACCATGTTATTTTTGTAAATGTTATCGTGATATGGCATCTCAATTGCGAATGAAGTGTAGGTAAAACGATTATCGCCTATAGAAGAAGAGTCACGTCAAAAAACAATTAATGAATTTTAAAAGAAAAAAGCTCTCTCTTTTTTCTACGCAAGCCTACTCTCAAATTCTTTTATGATCACGGTTACCAGAAGCGATGTAGGTAGTATTTCAGTTGTAGGATTAACCAAGTTTTAAATACCTACAGCCTTTTGTTTTATTAAATGATCATTGATGTGTAATTGATATGTTTTAATTTGCTGGCGTAGATTTTTAGAAATCACAACCCATGGAGCCGGTTGGCCTCAGTTTAAGTGGGGGTTAAAATTGTCGAAAATTCCAAAAGTTATGAAAAATTAGCACATGACTCACCAATTTTTCAACATGACTTGCACCCTATCTTTATTTATTTTAAATATAAAGTCATTTTTATCATCATATTGGAGTGCCAATTTTTGTAAGTAATTGTATACCAAAATTGAGGTACACTCGAAAGATAGCATGGTTTATAAATAGGCATCTACCTGTTTAGAGATAAAACAATTAGGTTGAAAAATCCTATTTGGTCTCCCTAGGGAAAATGTTTCACTCGCATGAGGTAACAAGAAGCGATACACGATTGACTAGTTCAGTACTATATTAGACTTCGTCGAGACTAACACGTTTTCCGTTCACCCTCTGTTTTGATATATCACGTTAAACTAAAGTGCGATCAAAGTTGAAGTAAATGTTTTGCCTTAGCTCTGGGGAAAGTGACCTTAGCCCGCGCTGAGCCAGAGATCACGTAATCATCTGGCGTCAGACGTTTGAGAAAAGTGATCGTTTTCAGTACATGTTACACTACTTGGCCTGAGTTTTCTAAACGCTCCCGCTACAGCATGAGAATATATATTTTTATATGTAAACTTGACAGGAAAAAAGCATATCTCCACATCCAGCTGGAACAATCCGGGCAGAAGTTCGTGTATCATTTATATCGATCAAATGTTAACTGAAATTGCTTCTCCAGCTCAACGGCCCATCGTATGTTGAAAAGTATATTCATTCAGTGCTCTTCTTCTTTAACATGTTCTCCATTCATTATTGAGTAATTTAAGGTAAACGCTTTTAAAACTTTTAACTTTTATTTACTTCGCTCGTTTAACTTCTTTCATGGTGTGGAGTACAGCTCCAAAGCACATTGCACAGACGCATCCCATGACAACGAACAACCATTTGGTCATGTTTTTCGATCCATGATCTGGAAAACAATTACGATATATTTTGTAAATAGAATAAGTAAGGTGGTAAGTCTTGAACTCGGAAAAGAAATCGAGGAAGATGTGTTTAATCGTCTTGTCACGATCGTGGGACAAGAAAAAATTCCGAGTCCCCACGAGGAAACAAACCTCAGACATTCGGAGACCTCATAAGGACTCAGAATTTTTTTCCTTATCCCACGCTCATGAAAAGACGGAAGAAACATATCTCTCAATAAGACAAAGATAAACTTTTGATATGGTCGAACATTTTAGCCCAATCTTTTAGTCTGAAGTAAATTAAAGTAATCACGACGTCTTGTCCGCCGCCATTAGCAAGCATGAACCCAATTTCACCATATATAATTTAAGACATTCCAAGTAGCTTTACTCTCGCTAACCTGGACAGTACCTCACCTAAAGGACCATAAGGCCTTAAGCTGAGTTAATCTTTCACCTTATTTCTCACTAGAGTCCGTCTTGCCTTTTTTAATTTAGGAAATTCCTACCAACTTTTCTCTAGGTATGCCTGGACCAAAACCCCCGCCAGGTTCACCTTTCACTTTCTTTCTCACTAGCGTCACTCATACCTTGATTTTCTCGAAATTCTTCCGCATTCTCTGGTTCAAAATTATCCTCAGGATCCCTTAGAATTATTATTGGCCCTTTCTCCAGGTCGTAATAATCTGTATTGACCTCCCTCCTCAGTCTAGTATTCACATGAGGGTCACATTTCTGCATGCAGCTGGGCTTGCCATCTGTCAGGTTACATAGGACGACTTCACAGTGAATGTAAACGTACGGCACGACTTGGCCATTCATGAACTTAAAAGCTTCTATGCTAAAACGTTGCGTGGTGGGAGGGCCGCTGTGAAATCTCACGGTCTCGTCTTTTGGACACCTTAATTGTAAAAAATAGTGTATCAGAGCCGAAAGTCGCAATAGAGCGCTTCTCGACAGAGTGTTGTAAAATCTACACCAGAAAAATCACAACAACCAATCAGAACAAAGGAAAATAACTTAAAGAGCAAATGTGAACTCAAAGTAAAACCAAACAAACTGCCTAAAGCACGGGAAAATATGGGCGACAAAGTCGTGATCAGTTTTAGTTTTGCATCTGATTGGTTGACACAGTGGCGCATGGTTTCTGGACCAATCACAATGCGAAATAAAGCGAAACCAATTATGGTCAGCACTCAATTTAAATCTACTCTAACGACACACGGGAATGATAAATTCAAGAAACACTCCATTGATAGCCTCAGATATAAGAGCTTTTTGCCCCCCCCCCCCCCCCCCCCCCCCAAAGCCCACATAATTGACCCTTTGGAATTCTTACATACTTAATTGTTCAGGGATCTATCATTCAAATTGGTTTATAACATAGCTAGTAAATTTGTCTAATCAAATTCAATTGCGTGAGCGTGCTTCATATTCCTATTGTGCACGCTCATGACGTCAGCCAATGAAACAGCATCTTTGTTTTTCTTTTAGGTAAGATAATTTTGTATTCAATCAGAAAATAAAGTTCATTTACACGCATGAATTCACCAGTCAGTTTTTTGACCAATGTAAGACAAGATCGTTTACAGCGTAGCAAAATGTTTTCTTGAAACAAAATTATCAACGCGCTGAAGCGTAGCAGAGGGAATATTAACCCTTTTACAACATTTAAACCATCGGATTGAAAATGTTAAAAAACAATTGGTTCATACGTCAGCTGTGCGTTTACCGAGATATGAAGCACGCGGGAAGTTTAGAGAGTACTCAAGAAGCCAGAGTTGCTCTCGGCTACGCCTCGAGCAACTTTTACGCATCTTTCGTGCTCTCCAAACTTCCCGCGCGCCTCATATCTCGATGAACGCACGCTGACGTATGAACCAATTGTCGATTGATGGGCAACAACAATCATTGATACTTACCCGTCAACGATGATGTCATACTTGATTTTCTTAGAAATACTGTTTATAGGCGTGGCGTAGCACGTGTCTGCGACGATACCCAACCGCGTGTCAGGCGTGTCTACTGATACTTGTAAGTAAAGTCGCTGTTGCAGTGTAACCGCCAGTGGAAAACTACTGTACTCTTCATCATAGTCTACGCTCTGCATTGTGAAACAAAGCACGTAAAAATGCATTCATCAAAGGTGTTACTTAGGATTGGATGAAATCAAAGGTAGAGTGAAGAGAGTGCACTACAATGATGGAGGAACAGGGGCCAGTCTTAAGTTATCGCCTGGAGGGGAGTCGGATGATTTTTGGGGGATCACACGGTATTTAGGGGTAACGAAGGGGGAGCAGTCGTCGCTAACAAAGTATAAAGGAGAGAGTATGGAACATTGACTGTCGACGAGGGGCGATCCTTGGAATACTCCACACACTACAACATAGTTTAGTCGCATTGATATTGGCTTCGCGTTGTAGTAGCTAATGCACTGTGTATAGGTAATTAGATAATAACATGATTTCGAGTGCAGTTTGGTTTAAATAAGACGAGTGGATTTTTCAGAGACAACAAAATTGTACGAGCCCGTAGGGCACCAAATTGCAAGCAATGTCTTGTTAGTAATGTACATGAAAAAACATCGCACAGAAAGTAAAGACTGACGACATTTTAAAAGCGTGCGCACGCTATTTGTAACTTGAACTCGTGTTTCAACTTTGCACTCGTATTACATGAGAATGCACTCGTTTTCAGCCAATCAGAAGCGCGTAATGTTTTTTAGACACATTATCACTGCGAATACAAGTTGAGAGTGAATGCTCATGCACTCTGATATATCAGTGCATCCCTTCGCACCACATAATCTCCTTGTCCTTTCATCCGTACCTTATAAATATTCAGATCCAGATCAAACATTCCAGAACCATCGTCAGGTGCCAGAAAAATGACTTTGGTGTTTGTGATGTTCATCTGAATCAATGAGGCTTCAGCCTGGTTTGGATAAGTACACTCAAATGGAATCTCTAAGTCCTGAGAAAAAAGATAATAAGGAAATGGACACAAATAAATCACGTTCAAGATAAGATCGTGAAAAGAAGAATTTTTTGTGAAATGTAGTTCTACTAGAGATAATACAACAGTTATCAGCATTACATGCACATAATATCTTAGTAACACGCATAAGTAGTTTTTTAGTAACGATTATCAAACGAAATTTACCGCGAGGTGTCCCATCAAAAATTGTACCCGATAAACACTCAACCTTTAAACTCCCAACAACTGATCGTCAATTCTCCCCTCTAGCTGCTACAAATTTCCTAGTAAATCATTTACAATACTTTGGTATTAGATCAAGATAACATCTTCTACCTAACATGTTTAAGTACTCTAATTACCTGTTTGCTTCATAATGGATATAGGGATACTACAGAGAGAATTTACCTGTTAATCACTTCTGGGAGTTGAAGAGTCAAACTATCTGAACTTAAAAACAAACAAAAAGAAAACAAACCTGTAATCGGCTGATAACAGACTGAGTCACCCGAACATCCTTGACCATATTTCTGTAAATTAGACTGTCTTTCGTATGCTCTAACGTGGTACCACAGCCAATCAACGGTGCAGAAATGGTCATGTGACTGCTGTTCTCGAATTTTGTTGGCTGACAGTTAGGATCTAATAAGCGCACGTCACTCATTTTAAACTCTGGTATCAGGGATTTTTCTATGTGAACTAACATTTGGTCGAAATCACAGTCAACAGTGACTTGCTTGTGAAGTTCAGCTGAAAAATATTGCAAAAATTTTAAACATTGTCTGTTTTTATGCATTAAAGGAATACGAGTTGTTCTTTTGCATGCAATCATGAAAAATACATGCCTTAAAAACTGGGAATTTTCCATTTGAAATGGGGGTAACTGTGCCATAATCTTCCGTTGGTTTGGGAAAAGGATTCTAATATCCATGTGATTACAAACAAAGCGACTTATCGTAACCACAGTCCTTTGAGTAAAAGATGCCACTTCGTCCAGGTTTGTTATACAGTGAACAAGGGAAGCAAAATTGGTCCATATTGACCTTTACCCGGCCCTCTCACCAGTTAGAGCCTTATTGATGAGCAGGCTGTGGCCCAGCGGTTGCTGGAGGTTCGAATAAACTAAAAAGAAGTACTATGGAGTACTGGAAAGGAATCTGAGTGTGCGATCTTTTGGGAGGATCCGGGTTAAGATTTGTGATCCAAGATCACACAGATCACGGTGCATCAGAGGAACGGAGCTTTATTTCATCAGATCAGTTACCATGACAGCAGGCGCGAAATTGTAGAGCGCGTCAGAAGAATAGCGCGCTAAATTTAAAAACGAAAACAAGATGGCCGTCGCGTGTAGAGAGGCTATTGTTTCGTTACCGGTAATAGAGAACTTTCCGATGATTCAATACTACAAGAAGCGAGAAGTTGTGAATTTTACGAATCTCTATTGTTTCTTTCGATAAGGCAGAGGCAGAGCCATGTCTGCATTGAAAATTATTTTGAACGTATTAAACCACTCTTCAGTGTTTCAGATTCTTGAAGTCATTCTCGGATTTCAAGAACCACAGTCAGCTGTTTGGAGCGCCTGCTTCCCAGGTCTGCCTTATGGAGACCTACCACTGACTTACAGAGGCAAGTTTTGATTACGACATGGATACTTGGGAACCCTGAATTCCTACGATCAGTGGCCGATCGATTTTACATAACAAAATCGAGTGCATTTCGTGTTTATCGCAAAATTTGTGGAGCTATTGCCAACAATCTTTCCGGTCAATATATGAATTACCCACTTGTTTGAAATTGAGCACCGCTGGGCAAAATGATTAATTTCGGATCCTTCGCCCAAAGGAACGCGTTGGATCAATGATCCGTCTTCAGATCGCGCAGATCAATGATCCATAAATCCTTGTCCAGAGTGGATTTGATAAATCACTGATCTGAAAATGGATTTGCTCGAAAGGAACCCCACAGATCAGAAATCCTGATCCGGATTCTCTCAAAGGAACGCACCCTGAGTGAAACTTGAGCCGTTCGGGGTCACGCACTAATCATAAACGAATAGGAAAAAATAAGGTTTGAAAATCGGACGACAAATCTGTTCTTTCAGACCGCTATTTATCGACTTTCAGACCGCTCATTATGTCGGTACATGAAACACTCGATTAATCCAAAATCTTTCACGATATTTTCTGAGACCAGTCACTCACTGGTTGTACCGCATTAACTTGTCATGTTTACATATTAATGAACATTACGATATCAAAGAAATGGCTCGGGTCGAAGGAAAGCCGACAAGTTCTTTAATTACTCGTTGTTAGTTAGAGTCACTGGGAGCAAACATGTTTCCAGGGTTTAAGCCCAAGTGTTCAAACACTACGGCATCACATCAATAAGATCGATCTGCTCTTTCCGCTAATCAATGAAAAGATTTTTTACGATCGTTAAAAGCACAACACATGCAGTATGTCTAGCCACGCTAAGTCAAGAATCTCCTAAATTCGTGGTAAATCGTGTTTTTCAACTGCAATATCATACCTTCTGTACTGCAACTCTGAAGAACAAGACCAAAGACGACTGCATGCACGATTTTCATCACCACAACCGGCTTTGCCATCGTGGAGAAACGTGGTAAACTGTCGTTGCAAATTCAAAACGATTGTACAAAAAACAGATCGTTTTATCAAGCGAGAACTCCCGGAGCTTCACATATGTTTCTTTTGGTTTTAAGGATGTACTTTTCAATTCATAATGCCTTAGCTGTAAACAGAATGGTTGTTCGTCATGTCGGTTACAGAAACTCGAAAGAGTACAAAGGCTATGTTGTTGTAACCGGAAACAGGATGCGCATATGACGGTTAAAATGTTTGAGCAGGGGTGGGGTAGCGTCGAATTGATTCGAGGGAAGTCAATCTTGAGAGGAAAATCGGTTGTCTTCTTTAGAGCGAGAACAGGAAAGAAAGTATGATCTAAGATGAAATTATTCTTTAAGAATCTTTTGAGAACGAATCAATTTCGCATCTCCCAAGCTTCCAGACTTCAAGGTGGCAGACAAAGGAGATCTGCCAATTGCGAGATGTTTAAGAGGATTAGGGGTTTTAAGGCGAGGCGGCGAACTGCCTCTATCCTAGAGAAGGTAAATTACCTGGTTACAGTAAACATTGTCGTATCATTGTTGTATTTCACATTCGAACATCGGATTTACCGATTGAGTCCACATACAATCCAAACACCTTCTCGTGATCGTTGCATTTCAGCAGAACTGAATTTCGGTCTCGAGTCTCGAGCCTTTGGTAATCGCCTACCTCGCTTTTGACTTAAAAACGGCTCAAGCTCGCATATTACTGGAATGCAAAACCTCTCCTTGACAAAATGTTTGCCGGGCGTAACGCTTCTTTTTAGGAACTGCGCGGGAATTCTCAAGGGTGCGGATTGGGATTGTGCCACGTTGGGCAAACGTTGTTTTTAGGGAAAGTTCGCCAGCTCAAGATCATCTGAAAAGAATGGAGTAAATCTTAATCATTCCAAAGTCCGCCAAAACTGGTCTCCTTCGTTTCCTTCGGTTTTAATGTCACACAACACTCTTCTTTCGGAGGGAACTTGGTGTGACATTCCCAGTATACTACCACAAGAAGAATATATGCTTGGATGAACTCTGAGAAATAACTTAATGACTCTTTTTTTTGTTTTCTGTTTTTAATTTATTTCATTTCTTTATTCATTAATAGTTTTGAGGGAAACCTCACATTCGTGTCACATAAAATGTACAGTGGCAATCAACAAAGTTACGTTGCCTTGCAAGTCCCTCGTAACCTGTCATTAAAATTCGTAACGACTTGTCACTTGCGATCGCAATAAGTCAATCTAATTGCAATTTAAATAAAATGCTCAGGTTACTTCAAAGGAAGTTAACACGGAGATTTTTAAATCCCAGGTAGGGAAATGTTGCTGCACCCTTTTTTTTTTTTTTTTTTTTTTTTTTTTTCAATAAGAACTGCTTTTCCCTTCTTATAAGAACGTTCAGGCTGAGACTAACCAAAATACTAAAAACATACCAAGAACATACCCAAGCCGAGGGTCAATTGAGAACGTCTTTATTTTGCTCATTTTCCGTGGAAAGTATAAAAAAGGTAAAAGAAATGTAAAATTGTGGTTTAACAGGACGAAACTGACTTTAGCAGCATTTCTGAGCGAAAGATGTTTACTTTTTCCTTAACCTGAAGGCAAAGTAGAAAAAATTGCAAAAGACCCGTACATGGAGCGCACGTGTTTTTAGAGCGTTTAAAGTTAAAAAGTTCACTTTCGTGAGCCGATGGCTCAGAAGAAAGGTTCCACAAGGTCTGGGTTTTTAAGCTTGGTCAATGAGAAGAAAGTAACGTATATAACGGCCGCTGAATTTGCCCTTTACAAAACAATTGACCATCAACCCGGCGCTTGGGTAGGGCATATGGACACAAGTTTTGCCTCGGGGTGGAAATCGAATTTAGTCCCTGGTTGCCCTGGGGTTGCCCAGGGGGAATGCTGAAGCTTCTAATTGATCGACGCATATTGAAAAGGATACATGATGCCATTTTTTAACTCAATTATTTATTTTTCGTTTTCAATAAACCAACATAAACAACTTACCTTTTGAAATGGTTATTTACGAAAGAGGTTTGAAATATGACCGCAAATTTTAATCAAAGGTTTAACACCGTTGTAAAAATTTCCCAAATACTAACTGATACAGTCAAGATGTTCTCGACCG